GTTTGTCGTGCTTGCCATAGTTGCTATTTTCAACCGATAAGCTTCTGATCTTTGACCAATCAATAGAAGGCAAAAAGAGACTTCTCATTAAGAAACTGGGGCTGGTATTTCACTGCCACAACCTTGTGTTCTTGCGGTATCCTGCCAAAAAAGTAGTTGCCCTTGTCACTTGTCCTCAGTTTTGTTTTACGATAGAGTCCATTTCGGTCTGAAATCGTGACCACCAGGATCGTTGGACGACCTATATAAACACATTGGCTAGTTTGGATCAATGACTTTGTCCAGAATCACTGAGGTGAGTTTTACACCAACTGCAAATACAGACAGTGGATTTTTTGTTAGCTTTTATTGGATGAGAAGATGGCATCATAAGGTCGAGCATTGGAGGCACACCTTCGGTCGTGTCTTTGATGCATAAATTCAGATGGCATAAAACCATAGGCTGGTGGCATGGATAGCCTAGTGGTTAGGTTAACGTACCCGTAATCATGAGATTGCGGATATGTCGTATAGTCCGACGTTGTGTACTTGGGAAAAACAATTACACGATTTATTTTATATTTGGCACGGTCCTCTCGGTGATGGGCATTAAACTCCGAGATCCTGCCTATCAGATAACTTAATATTGTTGATAGGGCATTAAACCTATATTATCATTCTGAACCGTAGGTGTTTCTGATAGTTTCAAGTTTAGCATAAACTAAACAATCCCACAGACAAACGAACAAAAACATGTCATTTGTAACAAGGAAGTCAGTTGTTAACGTTAAGACATTATATTATAGTAATTTAAGTATTAATCTTGTAAGTTTACCAGGGCTTAGTAGACAACGAATATACAAAGGAAATCGCCGTAATCTGAATACAGCCAGTCGCTATATTATGACGTAAATACTGCTATTGTTTACTTCCAACCAAAATATATGTAACGTGTTTGCTTTCTGCTGTTGCTTTTTAACGTAAAATAGAAACATAAAATATGAAAAAGTATGTCCTTGGTAATATGACAGAAATACCATAGACTTTGACTTTAGAATGATACATGTTGTCCTTTGTGACATTGTGACGTCTCCTGTAGCTTTGTGGAACAATAATTTCCTCTGCAAGAGCTGGCGTTGACCTGTTATCTTTTTTTTCTGCCCGCAACGTTAGATGACGCTACGAGACCCTCTGTTCAGAAGTTACTTCTTTTTCATGTGCTCTCTCCCTGTGTGGTCAGGCCAACAAGATAGACCGCAGTCGACGCCACGCCTGTCTGTCCTTGGCCACTTCCTCTAACCTTGGCACACCCAGGCCCTGGGTCATTGCCTCTTCCATGATCGTGCTTCTGTAGCAGCTGCCAGTTGGTCTACATCTCCTTCTTTTCGTATTCGATCTCCAGTACCATATCTGCTTATCTCTCTAGATCTAGTATTCTCAAAACATTTTCCAAATCCCCTTCTTTTTGAGCGTGTTGGTAGTCAATCCCAGGTCTAACACCTCAATATGTGTAATACTACTAATACATTGATTCCACTTTATTACTAGAATTCTTGGTTTAAAAAAATTGACACCCTGTTTAATATTCGTTGAATTGCTGTGATCATTCGTAAAGCATATATCTGAATCATACATCAGTTCCGTTGAAACTCCTGCCATGATATTCTTCAAATAATTGATTAAATGTTGATATTTTTATACTCCCCATCAACACTATTTAGATTATTTAGGAGGCGGGCTTCTGTCAGGGTTAACCTGGACTGAAAGGAATACAACATCCTAGAAGAAAGAACGAGATATTCCTGAAAAAGAAATAGCTCTATATCGGTTGTTTTTTTCGGAAATTGTATGTTTTCAAGGTCCACCAAGAACTCTGAAGCCTTAATCATTTTGTCGTCGTTTTTGCCTCTGTATATTATTATGTCTTGAAGTCGTGGGCTGGGTTGTCGGGTGTTGAACTCCATTTTACCAGGTAGTGTAGTGAGAGTTGTTCTAGTCTGAATTTGAGGGTTGAGATATTGGCCTCGACCGGAGGCTCTCTACAGGAGATGTGCGAATAGCCCCCAGGGCGAGGTGGAGGACTTGGATCTGTACGGGGTCTAGCATTTTCAGAACATGAGGTCTTGTCGATTCGTAAACTTAACAACCGTAGTTTGAGGAAGAAGAAGAAAGGGTGAAGGAGGACTCTACCCCGTCTTTTCCCTGAACTCTGAATTTGTTAGCGAGTAGCACCAGAAAGGCAGATGAGATAGGGTTACGAAGGACCTTCTTGTTCTTCGGTACTAATCGAATTCGGGACCGACCGGACTGCCTTCGCACACGACCGCCGGGGACCAGTCGCTTGGCGCAACGAATTCTTGGATCCAAGTTGGACATGCTGACAGCTGTGTGCTGGCTTTCGCAGTTAGGGCAGCAACGACTGACCTTGCACTCTTTTTAACGTAGCCCGGTCTTACCACAACCAGGGCACACGGCTACGTGTTGGCATCGCGACTGATTGTGGCCAAATTTTCATACTTGAAGCAGTGCAGAGTGTTCGGGACATACGGCTTCACACCAAGGACCAATTTAGATGTTCGAACTGTGGAATGAGGCAAACACGAATCAAACTTGAATACAATCGTGATCGTTTCAACGTTGGTCTCACCCCCC